CAGCATGAGCAGGGGAGGGTCAGAGAGAGAGGGAGACACAGAATCCGAAACAGGCTCCAGGCTCTGAGCTGACGGTCAGCACAGAGCCCGACGCGGGGCTCGAACCCACGAACCGTGAGATCATGACCTGAGCCGAAGCCGGATGCTCAACAGACTGAGTCACCCAGGCGCCCCAGATCTTTAAACAACCTTTGTCATTGCTCCTGCTGTTTCCATCTTTAACACAGCTGAGTGTGGACTCTGTCGACGCACACCAAACTTCCAGTTTCTAACGCCATCCTCCACCCCTAGTGGGGGAGAAACAGCAGTGAGACAGAGACAGACATGAAGGCTGGCAGTGGGTTTATGGTGACTTGATTTGAGAAGGTTTTGCTGACATGATAATCTGAACCAGCCACTTCTTTATGCTCTGGAGGCTTGCTGGACAATTTGGAGTGAATGAAAGAGGAGCTTTTCCTTTGTAGGGGAAGTGCCGTTTCGTAACGGGAAGTGGCAAAGAGAACTGGCAACGTGCTTCCTCCTTGGCAGGGCTTAGGAAAGACTTAAAAGTTAGGAGCCTTGAAACTGGTTGGCTTCCTAGCATTCGCGGGTCCAGTGTACCGCTTCGGAAGGTCATCTTGCACCTTGCAAGGGGTATGCGTTCTGCAGGCTGGACATGCTGGCTTAGCCTTACATTTACTAGGGTCGTTATGGTGCTTGATTACTGCCCTGCTTGTTTGTACAGCATCTTCTGCCTGTAGGGGTGGTGACTTCATTTTCTTTTGGATTTCCGGTCCTTAGTACACAACTAGGCCAATGTATGAACCTCAAAGAATATTTTCTGAATAAATTTTTGGAATATATAAATCCACCATGTTTTTGTTTAAGTAGAAACTAATATGATGGATGTTGGCTAAACTTATTGGAGTAATAAAAACATTGATAGACAAGCTGATACATTTTACACACACACCACACACACACACACACACACGGAGAGAGAGAGAGACAGAGAGCAAGAAAGAGACACCTGTGTAAACTCTATTGTGTCAGACATAAAAGAATCAAAATACATTTCAATGTGCTCATTTGTTAAGCTGTGTCGTTGATATATTAAAACTTACTCATGAAAACTGCCTTTATTTACAAGGTATTTTGCTTATGTCCCCTAATTTCTGGATAGTCAATTTGGAACTTTTTCTGAATCTTATTAAGCCATGAGTTCTGAGTTCATTACAAGATTTTGTTTCAAGCACTAGCTCTACTGTCTAGTTAATATGTGACCTTGACAAATCAGCTAATGTCTCTAAACCTCACATTAATCTCTCTGAACTTCAGCTACCTTCCCTATAGAGGTGAAAATGAAATTTGTAAGTGAGAGCATTTTGCAAACCATTGAACAGAGCATGTCACAGTTGTTCCTTTGTTCTAACATAAGGTGATCAAGGTTACAGAGACTATCATACAACAGGGCAGACCATAGACTGTCGAGTGACATTGCCAGACTACACAATTCTGCAAGCTCCATCCAGTGACTACACCTCTCTGTACCTCACTTTCTCCATTTGTGAAATACTGTGAATAATTGAGTTTTCATGAGGACTAAATGAGACATTCACAAAAGCCCATGCTGGCACTCAGGGAGTTCGCAATTTATGCCGGTTATAATTATTACAGTGAAGATTCATATTGAATCTGAAGGTATTTAAAGAAAATTTGGCACCTGTGAAACTGTAATTATCATTTTAGAGCAAAGAAAGGATCCACAGATACTTCACTTCTCTGTAAACCGAACCTTGTTGTATGGCTTCCTTAGAACCCTGCTGCCTGGCTGAAAGGAGGTAGTTTGGCCTTAGATGCTCCATAAGCAAATAAGGAGCATGTGGCCAGAACTTCTACCATTGTACTGGAAGGTCCAGGTATTTTTAGCCTTTCCTCAGACTACTGGAGCAATTTTCTACTGGGGATCCTTCACTGTTTGGATTTGGTGCAGTGCTCAAGTGGGTTAAAACTTGCATCCTCAAAAGGTCTGTTAACTTATTTCTCTACTTTAAAAAACTGGTATGGAAGCTTTCTCACCAATGATGGTGACATTTTTTCCCACTGTAAGTAAGCCCAATAGATAACAGTCTCAATTTACAAAACAGATACATCATAGGGTTTCTGATATGCAAAAGCTTTGCCACAGATGGCTTTTTAAAAAAATACTTATTTTTGAGAGAGAGAGAGAGACAGACAGAGCACGAGCAGAGGAGGGGCACAGAGAGGGAGACACAGAATTGGAAGCAGGCTCCAGGCTCTGAGCTGTCAGCACAGAGCCCGACGTGGGGCTCGAACTCATGAGATCATGACCTGAGGTGAAGAAGTGAAGTGGGATGCTTAACTGACTGAGCCACCCAGGCACCCCTACAAATGGCTTTTCAATAGCAATTTGCTTTGTGCACTTGAATGGGATTAGTGTACAAAATAAAAGCCGGTATTATGACTTTAAAATAATGCAATCGCCTATTGGATAAAAATAATCTCAATAGCAAAGAACTGCATTTCTCTCTACCAGTCTATCTTCTGCCATAAGACAAGACAATTTTAAAAGTATTAGCATACCTGTGTGTTTTAGGTTTACGTGGTGTTTTTTTGCCGTGGTGATTCTAGCTATTTCAAATCATCAGAATAATAGCCTATTTCAGATCAAATAAAATATCCTAGAACAGATCTAAATTGCAATTCATCATCACCAAACAACTCTTTAAAGCAGATAGCAGTAAAAAGTAATTAAGAATTAGGAACCTACCCCGCGGGAGCCACCTCTGCCAGCAACATGTTCAAGGTGATTCAGAGGTCCGTGGGGCCGGCCAGCCTGAGTCTGCTCACCTTCAAAGTCTATGCATCACCTAAAAAGGATACACCTCACAAAACTTCCATGAAGGTTAATGAGCTTTCACTCTACTCTGTTCCCGAGAGTCCATCTAAATACGTGGAGGAGCCAAGGACCCAACTTGAAGAAAGCATCTCACATATCCGACATTACTGCGAGCCATACACAAGTTGGTGTCAGGAAATGTACTCACAATCTAAACCCAAGATGCAGAGCTTGGTTCAATGGGGGTTAGACGGCTATGAATATCTCCAAAATGCACCTCCTGGATTTTTTCCAAGACTTGGTGTTATTGGTTTTGCTGGCATTCTTGGACTTCTTTTGGCTAGAGGTTCAAAAATAAAGAAGCTGGTGTCTCCACCCGGGTTCATCGGATTAGCTGCCTCTCTTTATTATCCACAACAAGCCATCGTATTTGTCCAGATCAGTGGGGAGAAATTATATGACTGGGGTTTACGAGGATACATGGTCGTAGAAGATTTGTGGAAGGAGAACTTTCAAAAGCCAGGAAATGTGAAGAATTCATCTGGGAATAAGTAGACTACTCCATGCTCTGCCCATTTTAATCAGTTATAGGTAAACATTGGAAACTCCATGCAGTAAATCAGTATTTCTACAGAAAAAATGGCGGAGAAGTCAGTACTGAATGTAGTGAATTGGCTTTCTTCTTCTGGAAAAACTATACTAGGCTTCTTTGTGATCTTGGGTGATACCACACTCCAAGTGGACGAATTGGAAATCTTTTCACCTGGAGATAATGTCCAGCCTTAGAGCTCCTCATTCTCATGTTGCTATTTATGTACATAATTAAAATTCCAAGTTAAAAAAAAAAAAAAAAAAAGAATTAGGAACCTAACTTTCTCCATAGAGAATTCTTCATAGGAACTTGTGGAAATATAAGATAAAGAAGACTAGTGAGAAACAATTTGGGAGGCAGCGCAAGGATTATTAAGGGACATGTATGCTAAGAGTTAATTCTATGGGCAATGGGAAACCTTTTCAAAGCACTTGATTCAAGCAATTACAGGTGGGGCACCTGGGTGGCTTAGTCAGTTAAGCATCTGACTCTTGATTGCTGCTCAGGTCATGATCTCATAGTTTGTGAGTTCCAGGCCCACACAGGGCTCTGTGCTAACAGTGCAGAGGCTGCTTGGGATTCTCTCCCTCTCTTTCTGCCCTGCCCACACTCGGGCACACGTGCATGCACACACACTCCCTTTAAAAAAAACTTTAAAAAAAGTTACAGGTGATATTATCCTCCCAAGAATGTGAAGATAGGGTCAAAGCAAGAGGAACTGAAAGATGGATGCCCTTTGGGGAGTTATTCCGGCCTCCTGGGGCCTGACACAGAGACCAGGAGCAGACAGTGAGTGGTAGCAATTCTGCAGTCTACAGAAAGCGTACAGCCCAGATGGCAGACAAGGCTCAGACAGCCAATTTTTACTCCAAAGCCTCCAGTCTCCCCGCATCGTGTTTTACATGTGTAAGCATGAATGGACAGTTCTGCAGGATGGAGGACTCTTGAATGTGAGACTGTTCTAAATCTGAAGCCACAGAGCCAAAAGCCAATATCCTCTGGGTTTCTGCCCTCACTGAGTCTGATTTGTGCCTTTCCAGAAAGTCAGCTTTCATAGTGTGGTGCTTGTGGTGTTGAGGCATGTTACATACCAGTCAGGAGGCATCCTCAGCGCTTCGCTTTCTTGATCCCAAGAGATATCAAATACCCTGGGGACCTTCGTGTTATTTAATGAGACATTCGGCACCATTCCCTCCACCTCAGGGCAGCCAGTGGACAAACGTTATAAGAAGTTTGTAGAGGGGGTGGATTTATGATGTATCCGTGGTACATTTTATTTTTTTTATTTTTTATTTTTTTAAATGTTTTATTTATTTCTAGGAGAGAGAGAGAGAGAGAGAGAGAGAGACAGCGTGAGCAGGGGAGGGTCAGAGAGAGAGGGAGTCACAGACTGAAACAGGCTCCAGGCTCTGAGCTGGCAGTCAGCACAGAGCCCGACGCGGGGCTCGAACCCACGAACCGCGAGATCATGACCTAAGCGAAAGTCGGACGCTTAACCGACTAAGCCACCCAGGCGCCCCTCGTGGTACATTTTAATAGCTCCCATTAGTCACCACTCGAGAAACTTCAGAGTTCCTCTCTGAATCCCCGCCATGCCCCATCCTCATTTCTATAACTTTCTGCCCCTAGAATACATAGCTTGTGTTTACAGATTACCAGGCACACGACAAAGGAAAGCATGAATAAAAGAAAAGAAAAAAAAGGAAAGCTGTCTTAGTCCATTCGGACTACTGTAACAGAATACTGCAGACTGGGAAGCTTATAAACAACAAACATTTCTTTCTCACAGTTCTAGAATCTGGAAATCCAGAATCGCAGGGCCAGCATGGCTGGGGAGGGCCCTCTTTCAAGTTACAGACTTCTCATTGTCCTCTCATGATGGAAGCGGTAAGGGATCTGTCTAGAGCCTCTTTGATAAAGCAGTAATCCCAGTCCTGAAGGATTAGTCACCTCCCAAAGGCCTCTCCTCCTAATGAATGCTATGTCCCCTGTATGGGTTAAGATTCAACATGTGATTTTGGGGGGCACACATTCAGACCATTAAACGAGTCCCAAATTATTTAATAGTTGTTAGGTGGTGAACACACACATACGTTTTAGTGAAAGAACCAGGGTTCCTTATAACCTGGCATGTGAATCTGTTGTGCTCATCAGACAAGTCATCAAGGATCTGAGAGTTAATTTATTTGAATAGATATAATAGTGCTACCTGACAAAAAGCTATGAGCATACACACATGAACACAAGATGTTCCTTATATGAACAGTTAACATACTCCGTAATAACAGCCACCCTCTAGCAGAGGCACCCTTCATCAGGCCCTTAGTTCCACACACATTGTATACTCACACCACTATAAGGTAGATATTATTATAAACCCTATTTTACAGAAGCGAAAATTGGAAGAGGTTTGATGATTTGCTAAGATGACTCACAGGATTCAGTGCTCACAGCTATGAATTATTACAGGATAAAGAAGGACACAAGGCCAAAATCAGTAAAGGGTAAAAGCACATGGGACGAAGTTCAGAGAAACCCAGGCACAACTGTGCGGGCGTCCTCTTCCAGTCAGTCACACAGGACAAGTTGAGCAACAGGTTGAGATTCCTCCAGCAACAAGTTGAGATAAGCAGCCAGTCACACACAGAGAGTCAGAACACTGAGGCTTCTCTTTCCTCGAAGCAGCTTTATTGTGCCGGCATGGGCTCAGCAGGCTAAGACCCCAAAAGGCTGAACCCCAAGTGCAGCAGGGGTTGGTTGCCTTTTGTACTATGTTTGCTCCTTTGTTTCCCATGTATGGTAACATACTGAAGTCTGAAGAGGCGGTAGACTTTACAGAGTCATGAGGAATGTCATGCATATGTACATTGCCAGGTTGCCTTCCCTTGTCTTGAGGTATTCACCACATTCCTTAGGGAGGGGGGCTACCTCAAACACGCGTGAAATGCTGACTGCCAGGGAAGCACATTTGAGACTCAGTGCCCAAGGTCATTACTGGCAGCTGGTCATGTAAGCACCTTCTACCTAGCACATACCAAAATTTCACACTCCCAGAAGGAAAACAGTTGTCAGCAAAAACTGCATTGTTTGTACACATAGTTTAGGTACAGCGAACCTTTCTTATCCGGGAATTGTGGGAGCCCTCTCGAAATGGAACTTCCTAGACAACAGCGAAAGCCAGCCCTGCAAACAGACATTTCCAAGATGGGCATTCTCAGGCCTGCTTCCTTAACTCTCTTCTGCACAGGAATAGACAAGATTAACCGTGGAGATGCAGAAGATAGGAGCTGTCTTTCAGGGTAAGAGACACGAAGTATTCAAGTACATTTATGTTCACTTTAGAGATACCCAAACTGGGTATCAGGAAGGCTGCCTTGACGAGAATAACAGACCTAGAATGAGGCAGAGCTGGCACTAGAACCCAGGCCTCAGACTACATGGGGGCACTTAATGAATATTAAAGTAGAAAGCAGTGTGGGCAGTCCCCATCTATCTCATCAATTCATTTCATTTTTACTCATTTTCTGTTAGATCTTATTACAAAACAGACAAAATCCAAGTTGATTTTGCACAGGTAGCTTCTAGTCTGTGTGAAGGCATGATTAGAGCCCTAGACAATTTCAAGCAAGTATACTGGTAACTTACTTTTTCATTTCCTTTCTTTTCTAGATGGAGGAGACCATAAACTGCCATCAATCTATTGAAAATATCGTGAGTCATTCTTAACAGCTTGTAAGAAAATAACAATAACTATTTATAATGAGAGAGAAGGGAGAGAAAGGGAAACGTCTTCTTTATACCAGAATACTGGCTGATTGAGGCTGAAAATAAAAGAATTAGACCAGTTAAGGGATACTAAAGTCATCAAATGAAAAGTTGTTGGAGACTGGGATATTTACACAGTTTCAAAGTAACATGCACCAATTACATATTAATTAAAAGGGAGGGAATGCCCCTTTACAAGGGAGAGAGATGTTGGCCATCATGACCAAACTTAACGTGACCAGTGGAGGTACCAACATCGTGTGTCTCCTGACGTGAGGCAACGAGGAGAATACAATCTTATGCTGGTGGTATTCTAACCAGGAGGCTCAGCCTGGATCTAATAAAGCAAAACTAGCCAAATCCAGAATGTGGGCCATCCTACAAAACAACTGGCCTGAACTCTTAAAAAAAAAAAAAAAAAAAACCCAATATTCATAGCAGCACTATCAACAATAGCCAAATTATGGAAAGAGCCCAAATGTCTATCAACTAGTGAATGGATAAAGAAGATGTGGCGTGTACACACACACACACACACACACACACACACACACACACACACAGTGGAATACTGCTCAGCAATGGAAAAAATGAAATATTGCCATTTGCAACAATGTGGATAGAACTGGAGGGTATTGTGCGAAGCGAAAGAAGTCCGAGGAAGACCAAATATATGATTTCACTCATATATGGAATGTGAGACACTTAACAGATGAGCGTGGGGGAAGGGGAGGAAAAATAAGATAAAAACAGAGAGGGAGGCGAACCATTAAGAGTCCCTTAAATACAGAGAACAAACTGAAAGTCGGGGGGGGGGTGCAGAGTAGGTGGTGGGGTGGCGGGTGGGTTAAATGGGTGACAGGCATTAAGGAGGCACTTTTCAGGATGAGCACTGTGTATCATATGTAAGAGATGAATCACTGAGCTCTATTCCTGAAGCCAAGACTATACTGTATGTTAACTAGCTTGAAAATAAATTTAAAAAAAAACCCACAGCGTTGTGAAAACCGCAGAGAAAGATAGGGATAGTTCTAGATAACAATAGACCAAAGAGACATACGAAACGCAATGTGAAACAAAACAAATTAACACAAAACTATAAAAGACATTTTGAGCCAACTGAAAAAAAATTAGTATATGGACCAAATGTGAGGAGATCTTACTGCATTTCTATTTTCATCAGAATGCTGCAAGGAGAATGTCTCTATTCATGGGACATGAAGTATTTATGTGAGAAGTATTATCACTTCACATACTTTATATGCTTTAGCACTTGAGAGAAAGGTGAAGCATATGAAAATTTTAACCACTGATGAATCTAGATAAAGGCACACAGGTGGTTTTTGAAATATTCTTTCAGGTCCACAGTGTGATGGTTAATTTTATATGTCAACAGCTAGGCTGTGGTGCCTGAATGGTTTAACACAGATGTCGCTGTTAAGATGTGTTTTCAGATATGATTAATACTTAAATCAGTAGACTT